GATGCAACATAGCTTTAGTTAAACCAAACGGTTCAAGCACACGAGAGATGCAACTGCTCTTCCTGTCATCTCCACCAAATATTCAATTAAGAAAATGTAAAATCAGACTTGGGCTTATTAAAAGTCATCTGTAATTGGGCCTCTACTATGGAAATAATCAATTCCTGCTTTTGTTTCATAATTTCATTCATCCATACTGTTTATAGTTTCTGATATGTGATGGAGTTTTGACCATTTGAATACAAAAAAACTTATCTGATCATTATTATATATATATATGATTCAAAAGATATGATTTTTGTATGATACAATACTCTTTATACAAGCAAAAGTAATTGATCATCACGGATCTGCTGCCTTAGCGAAACGTCCCCTGATTCTTGTCCTGCTTTCTGCACGAACCTTACGTGATTCATATCTGATGTGCTTCTCGTACCTGTTTGTGTTTTTTTTTTAATCACATCATCAGATCCAAACCCTATCCATGTTTAGCTTTTTAGATCAGATGAGTTAGTTGGTTACCTTCGAGATTTCTTCTTTTCTTTGTAGCGGGAGAGAGCAGAGTTTCTCTCAAGACTGTTGATCTCATGGCTCGACCTTATAGTAGTGCAAACCGGCACCATCACAGCCTCTTCCTCACGTCGGTTTAAGCTATCAGAAACAGGAACCATCACCGATGTCTCTTGAGGGCAACATCTCCGGTTCTGTTTCTCATCGGACTCGGACAAGTTTCTTAGTATAGAAGAATATGGAAAGTCCTCATCTTGTTGATCTGCACTGCCCTCGAACCATTTCAGTCCACTCACCTGCAAATTCCAGAGGGAAAATAAAACAGAGTTAGAAAGTTAACAAGCACAACAAGAACAAGAACAAGATTCTCTTAATTACTTGGAATGTCGAAAACAAATCGTCATCATTTTCCGGCGCCATGAACTGGAACCCGGCGTCAAGCTCAGCATCAGTGGCTTCGAGTTTCAGACAACTCGGCTCGGATCTGGCTAGTCCACGGAGCTGTCGGATCATCTCATCCTTGTGTTTCCCGCAGGTGGCGTGACGATTCTGAGAAGAAATTTCAAAACATTTCACCAACAAAAAAAAAAAGAAAACAGAACAGAGTCGAGAGGAAACCAACAAAGTTTTATATACCTTAGGCAGAGGAGGAACATCCATGGCCCGGAAGTTATGACCCGACCCGTCAGGAGCAACCAGATCGTTCAGGCTGAGGATCTCCGGTGTCTCCCAAAGCAACATCTCGGAATCATCAGGAAACAGAGCCTTCTCGCTCAGATCATCGAGGCCCACGTTGGCCAACAGCTCCGTCACCGACGGGCACCCGGAAAATCCTTCGACGGGTCTCCGGGTATGGACGGAGGAGGAGCCTGTGTGGCGTTCCCAGTCGCAGTTCTGGCAAAGGACAGACCTTTCGGTGTCGCAGAAAACGGAAGAGGGAGAGTCGTGGCAGGAGTCGCAGAGAAGTGACCGGAAGTGGCGGGAGAAAAGTTGGTTGGTGACGTGGACTTGCCTGTCGCAGGAGAGACAGAGCTTTGCAGAGTCAGCTTTGCAGTAGACAAGAGCCACGGAGGAATCACAGTAGTCGCAGAGGCGATTATGATGAGCTTCTTCTTCCTCCATCATGGAGTTAAATCA